GAGAGTGTGGTTTGGTATTTTTAAACAACACTAAAGTGTCTAGAAAAATTGGGAAAATATAATTTTTTTATTTTTGTTTTAATGCATATTTGCATCATGAACTGACATATTATGAAAAATAAAGAGGTTTGAGTCCTTCTGTGTTCTCATTTTTCTAGAAAATAGATATTTTATAAGGGTTAATACACTAATTAGATCGTATATGAAGTTTAAATAAATTACTCGTTGGAAAGTTAGAAATGATGACCATGTATCATGAAAATTTGTTTAGCCTACTTTAATATACATTGAGAGTTTGTTTTGGTATTTACAAACAACACCAAAGTGTTGAAAAATTATAAATAGCATTTATCAGAAAATTTAATTTTCTCAAAGGGGTTAACCCACATATTTCAAGAAAAATAGCAAAAATTTTCATTTTGGTTTTAATGCATATTTGCATCATGAACTGGCATAGTATAGAGATTAAAGAAGTTTGAGACCTTCTGTGTTCCTATTTCTTTGGAAAATAGAGATTTTATAGGGGTTAGTACACTAATTAGATCGTATATGAAGTTTAAGTAAATTACTCGTTGGAAAGTTAGATATGATGACCATGTACCATGAAATTATGTTTAGCATACATTAATATACATTGATAGTGTGGTTTAAACTTCTTAAACAATACTAAAGTGTCTAAAAATTTGAGATAACATTTATTAGAAAATTCAATTTTCTCAAAGAGGTTAGGTTAACCCACATATTTCAAGAAAAAATAGAAATTTTTTTATTTTTGTTTTAATGCATATTTGTATCATTAACTGACATATTATGAATATTAGAGAGATTTTAGACCTTATGTGTTCCTATTTCTCTACAAAATAAAACTTTTATAGAGGTTAGAACACTAATTAGATCGTATATCAAGTTTAAATAAAATACGCGTTGGAAAGTTAGATATGATGACCATGTACCATGAAATATGTTTAGACTAGATTAATATACACTGAGAGTGTGGTTTGGTATTCTTAAACAACACTAAAGTGTCTAAAAAATTCAGATAGCATTTATTAGAAAATTCAGTTTTCTCAAATGATTAACCCACATATTTCAACAAACATTAGAAATTTTTTTATTTTTGTTTTAATGCATATTTTCATCAGAATCTGACATATTATGAATTCTAAAGAGGTTTGAGACCTTATGTGTTCCTATTTCTCTACAAAATAAACTTTTATAGAGGTTAGGACACTAATTAGATCGTATATCAAGTTTAAATAAAATACGCGTTGGAAAGGTAGATATGATGACCATGTATCATGAAAATTTGTTTAGCCTATATTAATATACATTGAGAGTGTGGTTTGGTATTTTAAAACAACACTAAAGTGTCTAAAAACTTGAGATAGCATTTATTAGAAAATTTAGTTTGCATCATGAACTGACATACTATGAAGATTAAAGAGGTTTGAGATCTTATGTGTTCTCATTTCTCTGGAAAATATATATATTATAGGGGTTAGTACACTAATTATATCGTATATGAAGTTTAAATAAATTACTTGTTGGAAAGTTAGAAAAAATGACCATGTATAATGAAAAATTGTTTAGCCTACATTATTGATCGTTTGGTTTGGTATTTAAAAAAAACACCAAAGTGTTTAAAAATTATAGATAGCATTTATCCGAAAATTTAATTTTCTCAAAGGTTAACCCACATATTTCAAGAAAATTTAAAAAAAAATATTTTGATTTTAATTCATATTTGCATCATGTGTTAACAAGTTCAATTTTTTTAAAGGTGTTAACCCACATATTTCAAGAAAAAAAATAGAAATTTGAGACTTTCTGTGTTCTCATTTCTCTAGAAAATAGAGATTTTATAGGAGTTAGTACACTAATTAGATCGTGTATGAAGTTTAAATAAATTACTTGTTGGAAAATTAAAAATGATGACCATGTACCATGAAAAGATGTTTTTCTTACATTAATATACATTGAGAGTGTGGTTTGGTATTTTTAAACAACACTAAAGTATTTAAATAATTGTCACTTTATATTTTATATATGTATATATCTAACTTGGATATATATATATATATATTCTAATTATTATTCCTTATGTAACACACCACTTGGCCTATTATAATATATATATATATATATATATATATATATTATATATATCTCATTCTAATATCCAAAATTTAATAAGCAGTAATTTTGTATACTTTTGAAAATAACGTGAATTGATAAAGATAATACATTTGTTGCCCCAAAAAAAAGATAAAAATAATACATTTTGCATCATACAAACAACTACTCACTAGTGACTCAATTTACTATAATTTAAGAACATTTATAAACTCATTTCTATATTTATCTCGGTAATAACATTAGATATATTTTTTCTTTAGCCTAATTTTACTTATTTCTCTGAAATATAACTACTATTTTTCTCAATATTTAAAGAATAAATAACATTTATCTATTTTATCCTCTACTTATAGAAATGATAATTTATAAGGATACATTGAATCAATTTTAGCTCTATTATATACAGCTTTTTTTCTTAAATAGAGAAAAATATTAAAATACATGGAATATGTCTGAAAACAAATTTGTTTTATAGTTTTGGCAGCAGGTTCGTTTATTTATTTTCCTTCGCGATTATTAGTTAACACTGCAGCGCATCGACCATAATTCTTCCTATGTGAGTCTTCATTGACTCTCTCATATAAGTTATTGATGTTTTTGACACTACTCGAACTCAAGAATTTATCATTTAACAACCTTGACAAAGCGGTCACTAATCTATTCACACATCAGCTGGAATATATAAAACAATATAAAGATAAACAAGAGTATATTTCTAAGTAAACATATTTTAATTCAACTGGACAAAAAACTTATTTTCTTTACTTTATATTTTCCTTTTAAAATTTTGTTAAGCATATTCTTAATTTCTTTTTTTTTACATCAAAAAGTTGATATATTATTCAAGCTTGAGGTGGTCTAAGAAGCTAGACCGGAATAGAACAACCAACATATATAAGCTCTCGATAGAAAGATCGAACAGTTTTAGCTAACGAATCAGAAACATCATTATGTGACCTAGGGACATAGAAGATCTTGAAATCTAGGAAACAGATCCGCAGCGTCATAAGTTTTTTCAATTCCGTTGGGAATCTTGACCAATCATTAGGATTTCTGAGCATCATTATCAACTCCTTGCATTCATTTTTTTAACACTAGATAATTATCCATTACAAACTATGAGAAATTACATAGACGATATTACAGCCGACAACTCTACCTGTCTTATATGGATTCACGTCTGACTGCATCACCCTGAGCTGCATCAACTCCTAGATGTATGTCCCAAAACTTATTTTGAATATGTTAAGCATATTCAAAATCCAATATAGACGTACTTTCATATATCGTATAAGGAAAAGTTACAAATTCCTTCCCAAAATCATAAGGTAGAAGAAGCGAGTGGATGAATATAATTCATGGGCTTATTTGAGCAAATGAGGCCCATAAATATGACAATTGCTGTGGGCTACGAAAGATGAATAGCAAACGATAAACATAGTTTCTCTATAAATGATCCAGTGGTGGTAATAGAATATCTCTGTTCTGTTGTGATAATAACCACAACTTCCCAAAAGACACGACGCCCTTGCAAACAAGTAATAATATGTTCGGTCTTTGATCATACAGTTTTTTCCCAACTCTTATAGCGATTTGACTCTTTTTTTTTGTTTTCTTTTTTAATATTTGGACATGGCAGCGTCATCATCTCTTGTTATCTTCCACAAACTCCCTTGCAGTTTCTGTTTTGGTCCTTCCTCTGCTCCCTCTTACCTTGCTTCCGGACGAAGAAGGAGATTTTGGTCTGTCTCTGCCCCTAAAACTATGTGCGATTTAGTCAGAACCCATGCTTGGAGAGACGGCGAAGAAGAACGGTTTCAGGCGCTGGAGCAAGATGCTTTCATTAGTAATCCGTCCAACGATTTGGTCTCCGATGGGATCAACGCCGTAGCTAATCGTCTGGTTGGTATCTGAATTCTCTGATGCACACAAACTGTTTGACGTAATGTAAACGTTGATGATATACCAAAACCAAAACAGTTCTTTTTTTCTTTTCTTTTTTTGCAATTTGGTAACTTATTATCCTTAAAGATGGCAGAGCAAATGGGTTGTTGCTGCTTTATTTGGATCTGTTCTGCTTTTAAGACATGATGGTGCAGCCTTGTGGGCTGTCATTGGATCCGTTTCCAATTCCGCGCTCTCGGCAGCTCTCAAACGCATACTTAACCAAGAGAGACCGGTTGCCACATTGCGTTCTGACCCTGGGATGCCCTCTTCTCATGCTCAGTCCATCTCTTTCATCTCTGTCTTTACCGTCTTCTCTGGTCAGCAGCTAGTCAATTCTTCAATCTCCCTGTTTCTACTTGCATTTGCTCATCTCTGTAAAAGATGATTTTATTCACATTTATCCAGTTATGGAGTGGCTTGGAACCAACAAACTCTCTCTGTTCCTCAGCGGACTCATCCTCGCATTGGCTTCTTACTTTGTAAGTTTCTCTTCTTAATCTGGCATGAGTAGAATCAATCATATGTAAACAAAATCATTCACTTAAGGCGCAAAACTGATGTTAAGTATTGTATGCAGATATGGTTAAGGGTGTCTCAGAAGCTTCACACGACCAGTCAAGTGGTGGTGGGTGCGATAGTTGGTTCTCTTTACTCCACCTTATGGTACATAACTTGGAATTCACTTGTTCTCGAAGCTTTTGCCTCATCATTCTCGGTACAAGCAGCCGTCTTTTCCGTTGCTGCTGCATCTGCTCTGGCTTTCGCAGTTTATGTGCTACTTAACTGGTTCAAAGATGATTAAAAAACTAATCTCCTTATGTCATTCCTATTGTTTGAGTTATTTATATATTGTAGCAATCTAACATTACCACTTGTGTTATTGTAACAAGGGCCAAATAGTGTGTTTGAATTAAGGATCACAAAATTTGAATCGACTCAAAAGCTCTCTTCATTGCACAATCGTATCTATGAGCCTCAGCAGCAGATACAAGTAATTCCAAGACACTGTATATATCTTCACTTTGTGGATGGGACCGACCCCCAGATGCAAAAGCTGAAACCTGGTCCTTGATCAAAATTGAAGACCATCCTGGCTCTTTGATCAAAATTGAAGACCATCCTGGCTCTTTGATCACGCCTTTTGATTTCATACTCTTCCTTACAATTGCAGCCTCTTTCCATTTCCCTGTGCTTGCATATATATTGGCTAGTGTTACAAGTGCAGTAGAAGAAGTAGGTTCCAGCTCTAAAATCCTCTCTGCCGCTCTTCTTCCACGTTCAATGTCTCTTTTGGCAGTACATGCTCTGAGAAATGTGGTCCATACTACATCATCCTTCTTACATGACATCTCATCGATCATCTTCTCTGCTTCACTTAGCCATCCTGCTCGACATAACAGATCAACCATACAACCATAGTGTTCCTTGGCTGGACTCATGTTATATTTCTCTTGCATCAAGTTGAAATAATGAAAACCGAGGTCTAGCTGTCCCGAATGAGAACAAGCAGTGAGAACGCTGATGAAAGATACAGTGTCGGGTCTGAAACCAACCATTAGACTCTTCTCAAACAGATCAATAGCTTCTTTGCTCTTTCCATGTTCTGCATATCCATTGATAATAGCTGTCAAAGCAACAATATCAGCATTTTCTGTTTCTTCAAATACCTTGGAAGCTTCTACGATACTTCCACATTTCGAGTACATATTAATAAGCGCACTACGTATGGTGGGGTTTTGTTCTAAACCGATATAAAGTGCAAGCGCATGAACCTGCCTGCCTTGCTCAAGAACTGCCATGTTTCCTGAGACACTCAGCAAACTAGCTAGAGCAAAATCCGTAGGTTTTGTCCCTGATCGTCTCATCCATGAGAAATACTCAAAACCTTCTTCCACAAAACCGGCTTGAGAGTACCCTCCGATGATCGTGCTCCATGAAATGATGTCTCTGCATCTCATTCCTCGAAACAAACCAGAAGCAGAGTCTAACTTCCCACATGTTGAATACATGTTCATCATCGAGTTACTAACTGACAGATAATCCCCTATCCCTAGAGAGAAAACATTACCGTGGAGCTGCTCGCCCCAAACAAGTCTAGAAAGACTCGCGCACGCAGCAAACATGGACGCAAACTTATGCTCATTGGGAGTTACTTGAGAGTTTCTCATCTGTAAGAATGTGTTCACCGCGTTTTCCTCTTGACCTATACGACTATAAGCGGTGATAAGACTCGTCCACGAAACCACATCCCTCTCGTTCATACTTTGAAACAAACGCAGCCCATCTTCCATTTCCCCACACTCAGTGTACATTGTAAAGAGAGAGTTAGCCACATTGAGAACGGCACCGAAGCCTTTCAATATCACATGAGTATGAATCCCACGTCCGTATTTAACTTGACGCAGACCGGCACAAGCCTTCAAGGCAATTGCAAAGGTAAAAGTATCAGGTAGTCCTCTGAACCTCGACATCTCTGAAAAGTACATAAGACCTTCCTTGTGACGACCAGAGTGAACCAGTCCCGTGATGATTGTTGTCCACGTTACTGTATTTCTAAAAGGCATTTCACTGAAAAGTCTGCAACTCTTGTCGATCATTCCAGCTCTTTTGTACAAATCCAATAGAACACTTCCGACGTAGACATCGCTAAGGAGATGAGTTTTCAGGGCAAAAGCATGTAAAGATTCTCCAAATGAAATGTTGGAAGTTAGACCACAAGCCTTGAGTGCAACACTTAGAACGTGGGAATCGGCGGAGACGCAAGGATCGGCATGCATTGAAGAGAAGAGAAGGAGTGCTTGGTCATAGTTTGTGGCAGCTATGTATCCCTGAATGATGGTTGTCCATGAATAGACATCTCTGTGTGGCATTTTATCAAACATTTGGCGAGCATCTCGCAGTTTTCAGTTGATCATTCATAACGCAAGAAACCAATTGATTCGAGACAAAAAATCTGTTGGTTTGATGGATCTTGTCCATAAATCAAAGTGTTTTTCTTTCCTCATTGTCCATTACTACTACTATTAAAGTATCATTACCGAGGGAAAATAACTATCACTATAAACTTAGCTTGGACAAGCTCAGATCTTATGATTCGAAACTCCTTTCCAGAACATTTGTTAAATGAAAAAAGAAAGTAATATATTACAAGAAGACTCCCGCTAGTTTTTTTCAGTTTTGAATATTGTTGTGGCCTCCTTTTCTTACTGGTCCATAGCCTCTGGCTCTCTTCCATTTCTCCACATTGATCATCCTTGCCAAGATTTTCCTAATCAAAGTTAACTTGCGCGATTGCTGAGCAATGACGTTAACCGTTGAGGAGCTTTGGTTAAGTATGATCCCATACCCATCTTGAAAATTATCCATTCCGTTTCCTAAAAGTTGCCAGAACAACCCTCCTGCTGCTGGGCCTCCTCGTTTCGCAGACTCGTAAATCTTGCCATACACCGTGTTGAAGACAAGGTCTCTCTGCGCGGGAGAGTAGCCTGCTTTCTTCACTGATTTACCGAACTCTGCTAAAATTATGGGTTTGTGAAGAACGTTCTGAGCGTCTTGGATGTGTGCGTCCAGCCATTTGTTTAAGAACTCCATTTGGGATTGCTCACTTGCGTCTACAAACCTGCATACAAAACATATATTAATAATGACAGCTTGGAACTTTAAAATTCACACTACAACAAAATTATAGTTAAAGAAGTGTGGTTCTTTCTAAATGATTCGGTCTAAAGATACATTTATGGGGACAATATCATTACCATTCGTCTGGGTAAGAATGAACCGTGACAAAATCAATGCCCGGGATGCGATTATTGGCGATGAAATCTGTTCCAAACTGGCCTGGTGGGTTCAGAGTCTTTCTTTGCGGTGAGGACTGGCCGTAGAAACCTTCCAGACCAGCTTCAAGCAGATGGTTTCTGTCTAGTGACTTCACATGAGCAGCCATTTCAGTAATCCAAGCCTGTTTATAATAAACAAACCAACAAGTTTAGATCGCAAGTAAAAAGAAAAAAAAAAAAAGACTGTATGAAAATATGTTTAGGTGAAACCTGAATGGTTCTTCCGGTTGGATCTGAGGGGCAACGAGGCTCGTTCATGAGCTCCCAAGCCATAATAGTAGGGTCATCTCTGTAATGAACTTTGCTAAAAGTATTGAATCTGTTCAGCACAGCCTGCAGGAGATTTCAACAGGTTTAGCTGAGAAAGCCATCACTTCTTCTTTTCTTTTCCATTTTTGCGTTGGGTTGAATTGAATGAGTACAAGTGAGAGAATGAAACCTTAATATGGTTCTTGTAGAAATCTTTAACAAGAGAGTCTGTGAAGAAGTCGTCTTCAGAAGATACAGGACGGCCTCGGCTTCTAGCCCAGACCACATATTGCTTCTTCCCTCCAAAGCTCGCGTAGTTATTGGCAAAGCTGAGTATGATCTTTATACCATGCCTTCTTGCTTCAGCTATCGCATAATCCAAACCCTTTTTCACCAGAAAATAATATTGAAATCTTTAGAAAAACAGAGAATCTCAAACCTTGGCCACAAGATCCACATACTAAAACCATAAACAAAGCGAAATGTAACGTAAAGTGCTTTGATCTTAATAATTAGTTTTGTGAGTATATGTAATCTCTGATCTAAACACATATGTTCTTAGTCTAGTAGTGTTACCTGAAACATATCTTCATTGTAAGAGCCAGGGGAATACTGGAGAGGCCTGTAACCGCCGTCACTGAAAGCCCAGGTTCGAGCGACGGTCAGTCCATGGCGAGACGCTTCTTGGAAGGCGGCGGAGATCTTAGGCCTCTGGGAAGGATCGGAGGCAACGTACATGAGCCAATAGGCATTGAAACCATTAGCGTAATAAGGATAGCCATTGAGACTAAACTGAACACCTTTGGTTCTCACAAACCCATCCCTCGAAAGCGCATCTGCTCCGAGCTTCAAGTAGCTTTGCTGGATCAGGATCGATAGGAATATAATCAGACAAGGAGGCTTCATTTTCTCCTATTTTTGTGGTTGTTGTGTGCTCTTCTCTTACACTCTTCTTCTTCTTCTGGCTCGTCTTTAAGTGGGTATTTATGGACACAAACTATAACCGGTTTTAAAGCACAATAAATCTTATTTAAGAGTGTGTTACTGCACGCACATTCAGGTACTAGCAGTATTTGCAATTTTTGAGTGGTTGATTGTTGAATGGTTTTATTTCTCAAAAAACATTTAAATTGTTGTACTATATAAGGAAAACATTGATGCGTCACTTGAGCTTTGCAAAAAGGTGTTTTACGTAGAAAGTAAAGCAGGTGATTCCGTCAATTTTGGTACCAATCAATCAAAGGTAAAGAAGAAAGCGTGAAACCTGCAACAGAGTCCCACTTAACACGCAAAGCGTAACCGTACACATGCCTTAATGCTTCAGCATCGGATCATGTTACACGTGGCAGCATTTTCCAGGTTCTTATAGCAGCAACCCACGCGTCTTCCCACTTATGGATAGTAGTATAAATATACATACAGAGCCCACTCATGCCCTCTGTTTATTATTATGTGTCGGCGCCTCTCTATATTTTAATTTAGAGGCAAAGAAAGACCATAAAAATACTCACCGTAAAGAAGTCATGTGCCGTTGCTCTTTAGATTTTTCAGTTGGGTTGACGACAAAATGAGCGGTTCTAACTTTCACCGACCCAACTAACACACAGACAATTCAGTCTACTATGTGTATCACCCGCCATAAATTACGGCCAGCTTTTTTAAAAAGTAAAAATTTATTATAATTGTTTATATACTATGTATTAGGTTGAGAAAAAAGGTCAAGTCAAGAGTCTACTTACTACCTGTGATTATGAAATGAGATTCAAATTCTGTGGGTTAGTTAGTGGAACACAAAAATTTCAAAGGAATCGTCGGATTAAGATTATAGACGAAAGCTATGCTGAGGCTTAGCCGTAACGGTTAAGTACAAAACAAAACCAAAAAAGGGAGGAAAAGCTGACCTGAGCCGTGCCATTTGCACTTTCTACCCAATACTTACTACATAGCTCGGATCTGTCCTCCATAGCCATAGTACTTGAGAAGTCCCTCATCTTGTCTCCAGTTCTCCTTCACTCTCACTTCCACCTTCATTCACCATTTTTATTATACGTAATCAATCATGTTCATTTGAAATTCATACATGTAATCAATTTAAGCACCTCAAGGAAGACTTTCTTCTCAAGGAAATCTTCAATGTCTAGTCGAGCAGCCGTTGCTAGCGTTTTCAAAGCCTTCCCTTCCTATAGTATCACATTAAACCCCATTTCCGCTAAATTAGTATTCAGTTGAGACCTTATGATCTTTGAGCAGAACAGCTAATAAACCCAATTTGCAATTTCTTCAATCATTTATATGGTGGTCTGCACTTTTATTATGAATGTCCACAAAACCTAGCTACAGCATTTTACACTAAGATGCCTAAGAAAACAAGGATTACACTTTTATTATGACTGTCTTCAGTTTAGAACTTTTTGATCATTTAGTAGAACAGCTAATCAACCCAGTTTGCAGTTTCATTAATCATTTACATGGTGGTATGCACTTAATTATGAATGTTTACAAAACCTAGGTACAGCATTTTTACACAAAGAGGCCTAAGAAAACAAAGATTGCTCAATGGCAAGATAAGCATTTACCATTTGAATGTTAAGGGTGGTATACTTACTTTTCCTATAAGGATGATCTTCTGGGAATTTTTATCCACTACAACTTCTACTTGAATAAAATCTTTTGCAGCTGGTCTAGTTTTGTAGCTCAGCACGTTCACCTGCCACATCGAAGCAATAAGCAAACATGACTTATTAAGCCCAAAAGTTTTTAACAGGACTTGAGAGGTAGACCGGTTGGCAAACTTGACAGCTTACCTGACATGCATAAGGAACTTCATTTCGGTACTGCATAAAAATCTTCTCTCTAACGATCTCAGCAACAAAGAATCTCTCTGGGTGTTCACTCACAATATCCTAGAACGTCCAATACCCGTAAGACATCAATAAAGCAAGCAAATGGTTGCATGTGTAAATGCAAATATAATATTAAGCAAATTAGTGAATAAGCTATACTATACAAAAAAAAGAGAGAGAGTTTTTGGCTTTTTGCCAATAATATTAATACCTTGGGATAATAAGGAGGGCCAAAGGGAAGTTTGGATAAGATCCAGTCTTTGACATCCTCTACTCCATGTCCGTACTTTGCACTAACAGGAATAACTTCATCAACATCTGTGAATTTTTCATACCACTGCAAGGAGAGTTGCAGCATCTATTAAGCAAAGAACATTACCATTACTCTACAAAAACTCGATCTCAAGTTTTACAGTGAAACAACTTCCACCACTGCAAGTTCATCCTAGAATGACCATTATCAAGGTTTATGGACAGCTATCTAGCTAGACACAAGAAACTAACTAACCTCGAGTTTCTTGGCAATCTCACCAGGTTTGATAAGATCTTTCTTGTTCATAACAAGAAGCATGGGTGGCCTCTTCTGGAGGTCTCCCAAGCCCTCTTTCAAGACTTCGTCTATCTAGCACATAAACCGAACAATCCATAGTTAAGAGCAGGAATACTAAACTTTAACTCAACCAAAAATAAAATAAATAAAAAGAGAGAAGCATATACATTAGCAGGGGTTTTACAGGCATCAACGAGAATAACAACGCAATCAGCATTGATAGCAGCATCACGGACATTCTTCATCATCATAGTATCTAACCTGTGCATCAATGACTCCAGGTGTGTCATAAAGTATCATCTGCAACACCAGATTGCATCTTACTTTCTATGTATATCAACAATTTCAGGCAATCATTAGCAGATAATCTTGTGAGAGAGGATCAGCAAACCTGATAATCAGGGGTGGAGCAGATACCGAGAATACGATGCCTGGTGGTTTGAGGTTTATCAGTGACAATAGAGATTTTCTGACCAATCATTTGATTAGAAAGCGTGCTTTTACCCACGTTCGGCATCCCAACCACCGCCACGTATCCTATTATTATATTAATGCCATTCTTCCTAATCAGTTACCAAAATCGATAGGAATATAGATAAGGAGAGGAAGAAAACAAACCGCTGCGATGATTGGTATCAGGAGGAGGAGTGTGGCCAAGCTCCTCCATCTCGTAATCGTCGAGCAACGCCGCCATGTTTCTGTCCGGTTTCATGCTCAACGACAGCAGACTCGCTTCGTCACTCATATCCTCTTGCTCTTCTTCTTCATCTTCTATTTGCCCTTGCTCCACCTCCATTTGCCTAATCCATAGTTTCTTAGAGGAGGAGGCGAATTCCGTCGTCCGAGTACCATAGCTAATATTGGTACCACTGTTCTGCGCTTGAAGATGCGATTTGGTCAATCTCCGCCGACGACTATCGATATTATGATATGGATAGTAATTAGGGTTTTCAACAGCGGAAGTAGAGAATAATTTATAGCGGGAAAGATTGGGCGGCGAAATATGCGGAGAGGCCGCCATTGTTTTTCGAATTTGATAGCTCTCTCACTCGCACTGGTTTGTGATTAGCCAACAACGAAATGTGATCTTCATACGTCGTCGGTTCATCTTTTGCTATTTCAGTTAACACCCCCTATTTATAATTATATAGCAAACTGCTACCTCCATTATATTTTTGTGTGCTCATGAACCCCTTTGAGTATCACTATTTTTAAAAATGAAAAGAAGAATCAGAGGCAAACACCAAACGTTGGCTAACATTGCAAGCAGCCAGTGAAAGACACAAACCAACCAACCAAATTGGTATATGGCCAATGATCTCCTACACGGTTGCAACAAGAAGCTGCTGCTGATTTATTTCCTCAATGCTTCCCGCTTTCTGCTGATACTTCTTAAAGCGAAGCACATGAGTTCAAAGTCAGATCATTGAATGAACTAGTTCTCAGTCGTAGCATGAACTAATTGATGCATGTTATCTCTTAGCATACATGATTCCTTAGGCAAAAACACTACTTAACAACCGAAATAAAACTAGTTATTGATACACTTTAAAATAAAAAGACAAGAGGCTCCAGGGACTGGCTTAAAATGATGGTTTATGCTACGTTGGAAATGTCACACTGAAATCATAACAACTTCTCGAATTAGAATGGTTTTTAAGACCAAGATATCATAAAACTTTCCATCAGATGAAGAGACTTTGTGTGAGTTTCCATCTTCTACATCTTGTTGCTTGTGAAGCTTACTGGTTGATCTTATTAAACTTAAAAATTTAATACATGGATTGATCCACACACAAAAACAAAAACAGAGCAATATTATGACCTTAGAGACGAGCTTTCCACTTTGATACAAAATCTATTTGTAATATATGACAGGTCCATTTGAAGTGGCATCCCAAACCCCTCCTTCTTTCACATACTCCAAGTACCTAGAGAACTCTGGTTTTGCACTCGTTGTGCTCTTCTTCTTCTTCTTCCTCCTCTGTAATCCAACGTCAAAGAAACTCAATAGCGGGTGAACTGAACCTCCAGTTTTCTCCACCGGTTTCTTCACCTCCGCTGGAACGCTTTGCACTTTTCCTTCTAAAAGCCTAACTCCTGCTGCTTCTTCTTCTATCTCACCACCGAGCTTCTTGTAGCTGCCTCGGTCCTTCCTCGTGCTCATGGCTCTAATCATCCTCTTCTCTAATTAATTCTCTGTTGGAGGTTTAGTTTAATCTCTTATTGTGATGTGTTGCTAAGAAACAAAGACAGAGTCAAGTGTGGAGAGTTTTGAAAAGGACACATCTTTTGACTTCTCTTGTCCCAATCCCAACAACCCTCCCTTATCTTAGAACTATCTGTGACACTGCTCTTTCACCTACTTCTAATCGCCGGTCAATGCTGCTCTATGCTGACTATGTCTTCTTTTGGTTTTTGACTTTTAAACAAACAGAAAAGTTTAACAACAACAATGCTTTTAGACTTCAGTGGATTTTTCTGTTTCTTTCCACAATACAGTTGCTCAACTGTAGTATAATAAATATGACGACTGATGCTAAAAGAAAAAAAAAACAAAAGTGATTCACATGAATGAACTGTGTCCTGCTGCTTTAACCAAACCTTTCTTCTTCAAATTTTCCCTCATTTCTTCAACCATATCCCACTTCCCAATCGCTGCGTAGAAATTCGAAACCAACACATAGACGCTTGCCTTCTCATGACCCTTCTCCTCTAGAATCCTCCTTGCTGCATATTCACCTCGCGTTACATCCATATTAAGACTACAAGCACTAAGTACGGCGACCCATATAGCATAAGGAAGGTTTCCTTCATTGTTCACCATCATCAACCTCTCAACTAATCTCCATATCTCCTCTGTATCACCAGCCTTGCTTAAGATATCAATAAAACATACGTAATGCTCTGTTCCTGGTACAAGCCCATACTTCTCCTTCATCATACCAAAACATTCCTTACCTTCTTCAACCAATCCCGCGTGTGCACAAGCCGATAAAACAACGAGGAACGTCACTGAATTGGGTAAAACTCCACTTCTTTCTTCACACATTTCCCTGAAGGTTTCAAGCGCTTTGACGCCATCCCCATTAACCCCATACGCATCTATCATACTCGTCCAAGAAACCACAGTTTTTGACGTAATAGCTCTGAATACAGCACGCGCTTGCACTATCTGACCACACTTGCCGTACATATCCATCAAGCCATTGCATAGCTTTGAATCCGAAAGAAAGCCATTACGCAAGGCGACACAGTGTATCTGTTTACCAATCCACAGATCAGAGTTATCAGAGCAGCTAGCAAGAGAGCTAACGAGCATTCTCACATTGGGTCTCTGCCTACTCATAAGCAATAACGCATCCTTGTAGTTTCGGTTTCGTATGCAACCTGATATCAAAGAGTTCAACATCACCTCGTCCGTGTGAACATTCAGACTGATATAGACCTTCATGGCTTCACTCATCAACCCTACACTAGAGTAGAAACTAATCATCGAAGTTCCTAAAACAACAAGATCGCGTCCAGTCACCACCACCATGGCATGGACCTGCTTCCCTTGCTGCAAAATCTTGAGAGAGGCACACGTTTTAACAACAGAAGACAAAGTAAACTCACTGATTGCTACTTTGTCTCTATACATGGCTGCGAAAACGCCAAGAGCTTCTTTACCCTTACCGTTTCTAAGGAAACCCGAAAGCAGAGCGTTCCATGATACTACATCTTTATCCTCAACGCTCTTGAACACCTTGACGGAATCAACCAAGTGTCCCTGCTTTGAGTACATGTCAATAAGCGCAGTTTTGGATATGGTTCCTGTTTCAGCGCCTTGTTTGATCATCAAGGCGTGAACTTGGCGTCCTGTTTCTGGATAGGACAAGAGGGCACAGGCGCCTAGAACAGGAGTGAAGGTGTGCGAGCTGAGAATAGGGCTGGCTTGATGCATCTTAACAAAGAGACCCAAGGTTTCATTTGGGTTTCCTCCGCGAAGGTAAGATGAAAGTTGAGAGTTAAGCGATGAGAGGTCTCGTTGCAGCAATTCGTCGAACATGTGATGGACATGGTTTACAAAATTACGCACGAGCTCAACTCTCCATAGTAGATTAGTCGATTTACCGGAAGCATTACCCAAACGAGGCAAACATGCAAACATGTGAAAGGAAGAAGAGGATAGAAGCAGGCAGAACCCTAATATAGCAATCTCTATATGAGCAAGCCAACGCAAAAGGTTGCGAGAATTGTCTGTTGCAACCCTTTATTACACAAACATAACAGTAATAGATCCAAAACCATCCTTAAAAACCTTGTCTCTACAACTTCTTTTCCTTACCAGAGAACAAAATCCCCACTCAAGAATCTTTTACAGAGAAATTGAATGTCTGAAAACTTTACTTTCCAAGTAAACGCTGGTCAATCAAAGGACCTTAAGCTCAAAAAAACTTTATTTGAGAAGCAGGAAATGAAGTTCTTTGTTTGTTTGTTTCTTTCAAATCCAACATGAATCAACACTTGTCAAGCTCATTTTGGTACATTCAGAGAGTGATCATTGAGTAAAGAGTCGTATTCTGCATCGCGAGCGTTCTTCTTGTAAAGAAGCTTCTGGAAATCAGTCTCGTCCAAGTTCTTTGCGCTTTCTGCTGCGTGCACTTTAGCTAAGTTGGAGTGATCCACAGCCGAACTGGAGACGAAGGCTCTTTCTTTTTCGGTCACCTTCCTCAGAAACTTAGCTGGGTTCCCTCCCCAAACCTGTGTAAAGGAGATTAGAAGCAAGAGTGATGAGACCATACACTTCACTAGAGCAGACCAACAAAGTTGAGTTTTAAAAAAAAGAATGTATCTAAAGGAATACCTCGCCGGAGGGAATTCGAGTGTTCTGCCTGACAAGAGCTCCAGCCTCAACGATGGCATGCTTTTCTACATGAGCTCCATCCAAGACGGTGGCACCAGCACCAATGTAGGCCTCGTCTTCGACAGTGCAGCCATGTAAAACAGCACTATTACCAACAGTGACATTGTCTCCAATAAGAGTGGGTAAGACCTTGCCGCTTAAGTTGGACTTAGCAACGTGGACAAGAGAGTTATCTAGGATATTGGTCCCAGCTCCGACAGTGATGCTGTTAGCATCTCCTGCAGAGAAGCACACAATATGGCGTTGAAAACTAGTAGGGAATAATAGTGTGAAAGAAAGAACAGTGGAGAATGGTAAAAAGTAGTAACCAACCTCTCAAGACGCATCCATACCAAATGGAAGAGCCAGGACCGAGATGGACATTACCAATGATAGAAGCACTAGGAGCCACAAAAGAGTGCTTATCCACAGAAGGGGATTTATCAAAAACATTCATAAGGGTACGGTGCCTGGATACTGGAAACAAAGAAGAGAGGGAACAAGTAAGACGAAGCAATCATTGAATGCAGTAAGTAGTATGTGGACAAGGGTGGACGACAAGTGAATCAATCACAAATAAATAGCCAAATACAGAGAACACACAAGTAACTAACAAACCAATTGAAGAGCACTAATCTTTCGAAAACATAATTTAATTTTCTGGACAAATAGGAAAAGAGCACGGAGATGGTCTTCAATATTCAAGTTAAGAACCTATAGAAACTAATCAATAACAATGGCATAATCAATCAATAAACTAAGATTCGGAAATGGAAAGCCCCAAAGATCCAAAAGAAAAGACGTACGCTGTTCACGGAAGTGATTTTTGCCCTGGAGGCGACAACCAAGCCGATCAAGTGCTTGACCAGTTTCACGGATCCAGAATCCGACGCTGTAAAATGCTCTCCCGATACTCGACATCTTCCTTTCTCTCTTCCTCACGAGATAGATTCTGATGAGTTAAGGGCTTCTTCTTCTACGCCGGAACTAAGAGGAATAGAGAGAGAGAGAGAACTAGTGCGACTTCGACGCTTTGTTGGTTTGGTTTTGTCCTCAAATTATCCGGTTCTCCTGATTTAACTAATTCTGGTTTTTTCCGGTTCATCGTTGGTATTATTTTGGTAATGTTCTTCTTTTGTTTTCTTTTTTTTGTCAGCTAACACTAATAAGCTGGTACGTTGACTGAAGAGAGTTTAAGATACAGAAATTGTTCTTCTTCACTCAGACTACTACCACTCTTATCTGATAAAATGAAAGAAACACAATTACTCTTGTTATTTTTTTTGAGGGGGGGAACAATGTCTAAACGGTATCCAGAAGTAACTAATCAGGAGGACCCTTCATTCACACCCCCACCAACGCATCTCTTTATCCTCTTTTAACGAAACGACAACAAAAAGCCACTAAGAAGAAGTAGAAGCTTATCTCATTCACTCCCTCCTTTGCCTCTCTGTCTCTGTGTATTTGAATGCTACTCTCACATGGCGCTAACTTTAACTTCCTCCTGCTCCTCTCTCGCACTGGAACATAATCTCTCTTGCCTCCATAAATGCTCCAAGGAGGTTGAACTCAAGCAAGTCCATGCTCGGATGCTCAAATCCGGCTTCTTCCACGATCATTACGCCATCACTAAGTTTCTTTCTTTCTGCCTCTCTTCTTCCACCTTTTCTTCTTATGCCCAAGACGTTTTTCTCAACGGTTTAGATCGTCCAGATACTTTCTTGTGGAATCTTATGATCAGAGGACTCTCCTCCTCTGACCAACCCCAATCTTCTCTTCTCCTCTATCACCGCATGCTCTCCTCTTCCGCTCCTCATAACCCCTACACCTTCCCCTTTCTTCTCAAAGCTTGTTCCAATCTCTCTGCTTTTCAAGAAACCACTCAAATCCACGCACAGATCATCAAACTTGGATACTGGAATGATGTATACTCAGTCAACTCTCTCATTAACTCATATGCTGTCACCGGCCACTTCAACCACGCTCGCCTTCTCTTTGACAGAATCCAAGAACCCGATCTTGTCTCCTGGAACTCTGTCATCAAAGGCTACGCAAAAGCTGGAGATATGGATACCGCTTTAACGTTATTCAGAAAGATGCCGGCAGAGAAGAAGAACGCTATCTCATGGACTACGATCATCTCTGGGTATGTTCAAGCAGGAATGAACAAGGAAGCTCTGCAACTATTCCATGAAATGCAAAACTCTAATGTTCCCCCTGATAAAGTTTCTCTAGCTAGTGCTCTCTCAGCTTGTGCTCAGCTTGGGGCACTCGAGCAAGGGAAATGGATCCATTCCTATGCTAACAAAGCTAAAATCAGTATTGATTCCGTCTTGGCTTGTGTTCTTATAGACATGTATGCAAAGTGTGGCGACATGGAAGAAGCTTTGAGAGTTTTCAAGGACATGAACAAGACAAAATCTGTGCAAGTATGGACAGCTTTGATTTCCGGTTACGCGTACCACGGCCTTGGTGGAGAAGCAATTAGCAAGTTCATGGAGATGCAAAAGATGGGAGTGAAACCAAACGCAATCACTTTCACTGCGGTGCTCACTGCTTGCAGCTACACAGGACTAGTTGAAGAAGGTAAGTCAGTATTCTACACCATGGAGAGAGATTACAACCTGAAACCGACGATCGAGCATTACGGCTGCATGGTTGATTTACTCGGTCGAGCTGGGCTGCTTGATGAAGCAAACCGTTTCATTCAGAAAATGCCTATGAAGCCAAACGCTGTGATATGGGGCTCGCTCCTCAAAGCCTGTCAGATTCACAAAAACATTGAGTTGGGAGAGAAAATTGGAGAGATATTAATTGGAATGGATCCAAATCATGGTGGGAGATATGTTCATATGGCTAACATTCATGCCATGGGAAAGAAGTGGGACAAGGCAGCTGAAACAAGAAGACTGATGAAAGAACAAGGAGTTGTGAAAGTTCCAGGTTGTAGTACAATTAGCTTGGAAGGGACCACACACGAGTTTACAGCAGGAGACAGATCACACGCTGAGATTGAGAAAATTCGAACTAAGTGGAGAATGGTAAGAAGGAAACTTGAAGGAAACGGGTACGTACCGGAGTTAGAAGATATGCCGCTTGATCTAGTTGATCATGAGGAAAGAGAGGCTATTGTCCATCAGCACAGCGAGAAACTGGCTGTAACGTATGGGCTAATGAAGACTAAACCGGGGACAACAATACGTATAATGAAGAATCTCAGAGTATGCAAAGACTGTCACAAAGTAATGAAACTGATCTCAAAGATCTACAAGAGAGATATCGTAATGAGAGATAGGACAAGGTTCCATCATTTCAGAGATGGGAAATGCAATTGTGGGGACTACTGGTGAAGAGTTTTGAAAGGGCATACAAACTTTTATTGCTGCTTAAGAAAATGGATACATTCAAATAAGATGACAAAAGTTAATAAGTACAAAGTTGTTTTCAACTGAGGCTGAGAAGCTGTGTTGCTGTCCAAGACTGTCCAGGCTCTAGCTTGACATCCCCAAGCTGAGAGTTACGAAATGACAAGCCAGAGTTGGAAACTTTTGAGTCTATATAAGTTTTGTAAAGAGTAAAGGCTTACTGACAAACCTTTGCATTTTCCACGCACACAAAGTCTCTGTAACAAGCCTCCATCTGAACGTGCGGGTTCCACAAGACAGCATCCGACCAGCTGCATTTTCCAAATATATTTTTATGAGGCATAAAACAAATTTTGAAATGGAACCAAAAAGCCGCATAAGAGTTAGATAAATCATACTTGGTGTTTTTGATGATTATTTGATCACCCAAGCCATTATCAAAGTGCAATTCATTTGGGGCATCAAGATAGACACAGTCCACAAATCCAGGAAAAGTGACTGCATCCCTGGGATGTTTGAAAATAAGAAGTTAGACGTATGAAATATGAGAAAAGAAAACCAATAAGATCTGTAGTTATGCCAATATGCAGCTTATGAAGAATAGAAACTTAATGAAGGTAAAGAGCTAAAAAAGGGAAGGGAAGAAAGAAACCAACCTGTCTTCTTGACCCTCAATTGGGTTTTTAGGATCAGGATCCTTATTGAGTGTTTTACAACCCTTTAGACCTTTCACAGATGCTCCAGTGACAGAAGCCTGATGAACCCAAGAAAGTTATAAGACGAAAAAAAAAACAATTTCAGTAACAAAGCTGGTTGATCCTGAAACTAGAGTATTTCAAAATGAAACCATTGAGGAGGAAACCTACACGGAAGTAAGTATGCAAGGCGGTGTTAAAAGAGAATGGTTTGTTGTCAGTGTTTGTAACTTTAAGCTCGGTGGAAAGGCTGTCCGCGCCAACAACGACCTAAAGCAACCAAAAACGAAAACGAAAACTATTAAAAAGAAAAGGCATCTTAATAACACACACCAGTGAGTTTGCAATAATCAGAAAAGGGCATTCACAAAAGAAAAAAAAAAGGAACCTTGTAAAGAGCGTGGAAAGCAAAGTCCCACATGGATCGACTATAAGGACCATCCTTGAGCTCAAGAGTAACAGCAGCATTGTCAACGGCATTCTCAGAATCGGCAACAGACCAGTCCATGTTCCTTCCAAAGCCATGCTAAATGAGTAATGATTCATTCCCAAAAAAAAAAAATGGTTAAAAAGCATATAACTCTTCAGGTGGAGGAAACACACAACAAAGAAGCAAAGAAAAAAAAAAGGAACCTGCTGAATAACTCCAGGACCAAACTGTGGGAAACAATGTGGAATCCCTCCGCTAATCCAATAACAAGCATTTCACTGTAAGAAGACAAAGAAGAAAAAGGAAGACATAAAATTGTATAGTAGCAGTTAGTGGTAGTGGAGAGAGACCTGATGGGTTTGATCTTATTGAAGACAGCATCAGGTCTAACAAAAAGAAGATCTTTCCCACTCGCAACTTTCCAGGATGTAACGCATCCTCCAAACAGATATATCTCTGCCTCGCTGCACCCATCCCAATTATTTAAATGCAATCAATCATCAATCTATGACTCTCCCCAAAAAACAAAAACAAAAATGGAACAAGATCGTTTTCTTTTTAACCTCTTGTCGGGAGAAGTGAGGACGAGTTTGGGCAAATTGCCTTGTCCTTCTGTGACTCTCACTCCAGTAGTTGCCATGGCACAGATTCTTCCTCCTCTTTTGCTAAATGTATATGATAAAAAAATAACACTGTAATTTGTAAATTGCCCCCACCCATTTTCGATACAAAGTCAACAAAGCAAAATGGTTACCTGCTGCTGCTATTTCGGAGATGATTGGGAGAATTAACGGCGAGGAATGAGTTGGAGACAGATACCATCATCGCCATCTTTCTCTCCTCTCTCCTTCACTCACTCTAGATTGCAAAATTGTTAAATTACCCCCAAATATTAAAAAACAAAACATATATATACCCCAAATTGCCTCTTCAATTGACGGTGGGGACCCCGACTTTAACGTTGACCTCCTCCGAATAATCTTAACGAATATCCGAAATTACTTGAAAACAAAAAAATAACGCTAGAGGGAGGGGTCGAACCTCCGACCTTGTGGTTAACAGCCACACGCTCTAACCAACTGAGCTACTCCAGCTATTTGTTATTATGTTCGTCTACTTAATCCCTCATAAATTTATTCTGTGTTAGTGGTTAATAACTTGAGAACAACAATAAATAAACGAAGCTAAAGACTAAGAAAACTAACACTTGAAACAAATAAACACAAAAAATTCATCATGGTGGGAGATAAAAATGCCAAATCATCGGCCTTACAATAACAAAATTTCAATATTTCTGACATGCAAAACTGTTGTTGGTATCCAATCTTGAAGCAGTCTAAGTAGATTTATCTCTCCACTTAACTCTTCTTCCATTCCTCTCCTCTCTTTCACCGTTATTCATTGCCTGTATTTTTTCCAAAGAGTACTCAGTGTTCAACTTTGATGCTTTTCGATATTATTAAAGATCATATGTCATGTTCGAGTAAGAGAAAAATGTACCGGTTTTAGACATGTCTGTAGTAGTAGTATCACGCGCCTTCTTCACAGGTTTGTTGGCAGATTCAGCTGTTCCACAAGTGAATGAGAGGTTAGAAACATATTTAACGTTAACAATGTAAGCCGGTTGCCTCCATATTTAACATCATGCTGTCAGATTCTGTGCTCGTTTTTATTTGACCGCATGAAAAATATTCCCTTAAAGACATTTATTTCCTTACCTTTGAACTTTCTCTTCTTCTTAGCTCTCCTCCTCTTTCTCTCTTCCTGTGTAAGTTCAGACTCATCCTTTATTTTGCCTGTCCCCGAAAATATTTCCTCCGGAGCAAGCATTGCTGCATCTGACACTGCCACTGGCGCAACCTATACACAAGTACAAATTGAAGAACCCGCTTACTACAATGGTGCTTTCATCTCAATCAAACAAACAAAAACAGTTGAAAGTAAACAACAGAATTTACCTCTTCCATTGCTATGGCTGGGACGTTTGTCTGTATAGACATTTCTTCAATTACCTGAAAGTTTTTGAGTAAAACAAAACAAGTGTTAGCCCCCAGTAAACATTTTTAAACGTCATCATTTAGGATCTAAACGATAAAAACATACTGGTTTAGGTGTAAAGTGGAAGTGGGAGAGAGAATCCAACTTCAGGCATAGTTTCTTGAATAGCATGCTTGCCTGATTTAACATTTTAAAAGATAAACAAAGCAAAAACCAGTGTGAAATTGGAAGGGAGAAGATCCATAGGTAAACAAAACAAAACAAAAAAGGCAGAAACAAATTTCAAGTGGGAACCTCTTTCTTCAGTTCATCAGAGAAAGTTGCTGGAGCAAAAGACGGATTAGACTTCTGAACGTATTCTTCCTGCAAATAGTGGACCAACACACATTTATAAGTTAAGTTCTCCCTAGATAACTTAAAATAAAAACAAATTCTTGTAGACCATACAAACCTCGTAAACTTCGGCAAGACCTTTCTTGCTTTTATTATCGTCCTGCATATTTCCAAAAGTAACCAAACAGATTATACTGATATTCATCAACTGTCAGAACATGAGAACAAGGTTAATAGCTCTTCAATAAAACTCACCAATTCCTTGGCTTCTCTTTTGGATTTAGTGGGCAGACTAGGTGCTCGTTGAACATCATCAAAACGGGCCTAAGAAACCACCAGATAAGTTATGCAAAAGTCAAGGGGAAGAAACAAAGAAGACTTTTGGTACAGCCCAAGTAGTTACCTCAATGATTCGGCTCTTGATCATATCCTCAAGTGAGGCTGTGACCTCTTCTGTGATAACAGGAGGAGGCCTGGCATTGTGCTCAAAATCTAAATCAACTTCTAGAGCACTATTCTTTGGCCTCTTTGTAGCAGTTACCTTTTAACAAGACAAACCATACATAAACTTAGCTACAGAAAGCAACATTGCAATATTTCTCAGGGTTAATAGTGGAGAAAAACATGGGTGGGTACCTCTCCCTGCATAGTCCAATGTTTAGGATCTAAGTTTGCTTTCTCCATCTGTTCGATCTTGGATTGAAGCTTTAGCAGCTCTTTCTCATGGGTAGAGAGTGTTTCATTTCCCTAATAGTAGAGGAATTAGTTGTACAATTTGACTAACAAGAAATGAAGTCATTGCATATAAGAATAACTAGTACTTGGTTTCCATTTCCCGCTTCCTCATCTTCAATGACATCTTTCATCGTCTTTTTTGTCTCCTTTTTACCACCAAAGAAATCCTCATATCTAATTATAATTGATAGAAACCAAAAAAAAACATTCTTAGAACAAATCCAAAGAAGAAATACTATTAGCCTAATCTCGTTTGTTTCTCCAATTAGCTTAATCACAATATCAGAGAGAGCATAGGATCCATACCTGGCCTTTCCCAAATTGTCTGACTCTTCGTTGTCATCAGCAGCAAAAGCACCAAACTAGAGAAAAAGAACAAATCAAAGATCATTCGATAGAAAAAAAAAACTAAGAAATTTGTAAACACTCAGATCCTATGTCTAAAAACTGTATATGTGCTTACCTCTTCATCTTCCTCATCATCATCTTCGTCTTCATCATATTCATCATCATCACTCAAATTTTGCTTCTGTGTATTGTTTTTGGAGTCGATGCCATACTCTAGAGCTTCACCCTCCTCCAAAAAATTCTCCAAATCTTTGATCTTGAAGAACTTGTCCTCTATTCCTTCATTCTTTTCATCCTCCTCCTCTTCTTCCTCTTCTTCATCCTCCTCGTCCTCTTCGCTTTCGTCAGCTTCTAACTCATTATCTTCATCCCCACCCTCACTATCATCATCCATGTCAAACCCATCCATATCCATATCCATCTCATCATCCTCGTGAGTATCCTCGAGGGCCAAACCTCCGAGCTTGCGAATCTCTTTAGGGTTTTTAGCAAATCGCTTAACTTCATGTCGCAGGCTTGACAACAATGGTTGAGACTGCATATCAATCTGCTGCCAAATCTGCTCCGCGTCAAAACCATCAACCAAGAGCTCTTCAAAAGGAGATTTAAGGTTGTGAGGCTTCAGCTTGGTGAAGAGATACTGAGACGCAACACGAGCCACATCTGATATCGAACTTGGCGCTAGAAAAACCGGTGGTTCCGTTGATTTAAGCTTTCCAAGGGCTTCTAAGCCCCAGTCCTTTACATCCGCCATTGACTCACCAAATCGTTTGCTTCCGAAGCAATGTGTGCCCTCCAAATTAGGGTTTCTACGACGATGAGCAGTGGCGGTTTAAACGGCGGTTAGGTTCAATGTTAATATCTCTAAAACTTTGAGAATTAACTATCCCGCGCAGACAAAGAGAGTTTTACCTTGTTATATGGGCCTATATTTGGGCCTTATGCATTGTGACTAGGCCTAGCTAGCCTTGTTGCTTTTCTTTTTTTCGTCCACCAGTATTTGGACCTTAAGCATTGTGACTTGGCCTATCTTGAGAGTTGGTAGGTACTTTACATAAATTTAAGAAAATAATCTTTGGTGTTCTTATGTTTGTCAAATCTATACATATAGGGTCCAGATTATGTACGTTGAGTATTAATAATATGTCTCCATCGTAGCAGTAAAAAATTTTCTTGTAGAATGGTATGTTAGATGCCAAAAAGTCAATAATAATCTTAGACATGTGAGGCATATTATTTGATGAATTAGTTTGAGTTTAATATTTTTATCAGCCAACTAAATGGAGTTTACCAATAATTTAATTTCTAATGGTTTAAATAATGTGATGATAGTAAAATATAGTTATAAGTCCAAAAACCAAATGGTTATTATGCATGCCATTAATGCAAGTTAAGAGACAAAAAAATGCATTCTAATAAGTCGTCTAAAACAGCGAGAACAAAAATGCCAAAACAAATATGTCTGACGAGAAAATAAATGAAAGTAGACTCGATCCTTGGAAAGTTAGTGCGTAGTAGTACATAATGGTTCAGTAAAATTATGAACCACATAATGCAACTATTATTCTCCGCAGCGCAAATAGACACAAACAAGAGGTCAAGATGAAGAAACTGACAAAACAACGGTCAAGTTACTTACAATAAGAAGACTATAATCATATATAATACGATAAAAAAAAAATTATCAACTCACTACAGTCCAATCCAGACATTGTAAAATCTAATCTACATTATTGGCCCGATCAGAATTTAGATTGGCACTATCTAATTTCAGGTTTTTGTCTACAGAAACATGTTCAGCGACTCAGGCATATGGACCTTAAAACCTCTCCGTCTATGTACTCTTGTGTCTTTTCTTATCTCCACGTTTTTTTCTTATCCCCAAGTTTGTTATGTGAATTTGATATCTATTACTCATGCTCGTTTAAATATTTGGTGTTCGTCTATTTACATAATAACATAAAGTACTTAGTACCATACAAAAGAAAAATAATAGCGTGAATTTGCTGTTATTTATTACTACAGTTTTAAACAAATATTGAAGGAGTGAAAATACATACGTTAGGAATTAATTAATAAGAAAAAGGCTATGATATACTATAGAATAATATCCATGCATATATGAGTAGATATCATAACATCAGAGTATCGTCTCTCTCCAGCTTACCAGTACACTTTTTAGAGATCTATTTGTTTCTTATAGATCCACATGGATACTCTTTTTCCAGATTCCATTATATATCACTGTCCTTTCACCTCGTAAAGTCATAGACAAGACTCGTTGCCGTATCCGCAACGTTAAGTCTCCACGTGTTGGACGTTAGGCCGTTCACTCCGTCGACAGGATCCCGTCGGTAATACTCTCCAGCACCGCCGTAGTAGTCATGGTTGAACATGATCTCGCTGGCTACGAAATTGCATGTCGATGACGATCCATTCTCAACATCATTGTAGTTACTATAACTTGAGTGATGTTGTTGTCCGTACTGATCTTGCGCTCCGGTGCTGCCAGCTGTCACTACAGGATTTATCGTTCTCTTCTCTTCTTTCTTGAAACGAATTCCACACGCATTGCATAAAGACTGCACCGGTTTATCAGATCAAATGTGATCATTTTCTTAAAATGTAAAATATACATATAACTAAGTAAATATAAAGTAAAATACCTTGGGACCTCGAGGACCATTCCTCCATAGCGGCGTAGACGTTGTATCACAATTGGTACAGCGACGATCAAGTAGAGTGTCGCCTCCACCCAAAATGCGGCGGTTGGAAAAGGGAAGGACGCAATACGTCGACGTTTTGGAGGTGTTCTTATTGGTTTCCAGGGAAGAAGAGACACGAGAGAAAGAATTACTGGACGACGACCGTCTCTTCTTCCGCTGCATTTTATTGATAAATAATTATGTTATGAAATATTAACATAATTTAAGTGGTTTTTCTCTTTAATTTTTTAATGTTTATATTGTATATAACATGTTAGTCACCAAAGTGATCTTGTTATATTATATACATAGATATTAAAACTAAATATTTAATTGATCAAAATATCAATGATGCTAAATGACATAAAAGTTTGATAGATAATTAATTTATTTTTTATATTCTAAGAGATTACCCAAAGGTGAATCACTGAAGAAAATTAATAAAATAAAAGAATTAGTCATTTTTTACTCTAGTTGATAATATGTATATCCAAAGATAACATATTTATTTGACTAATGTCTGATTTGATTAATATTAAGTACATATAATTAGCATTAATGAAAGTACTTGTATTTAAATATTGCCCAAAGGTTATTTTAAATATAAGTGTTAAAGTTTCTATTAGTCTGAATATATATTAAAGTTTCAAAGCATTAATGGGTAAACATGTATGAATGCTTGCAGCTTCATCAAATGTGTTTGCATCTGCTAACTCTGTGGTAAAGTTTAATGGCCTCAACTATGGTGAGTGGTTCGAGCAAATCCGGTTTACACTGGGTGTAATGGCTTTGGACTCTGCCATACTAACTGATGAGGAA